AAATATACATATATAATGTGAGACCCATTATCTAATAAAAGTCATGAAACCTAGCTTGTTCATTTTGTGGCTTATAATAATTGGAAGTTGATCAAAGAACACTACTTCCATTTTTATGACATTGTTACTATTTTTATGGACAGAATTTAAAATGTATGATAAAAATCCAATATACAATAATTGAAACATACAGCCCAACCTCACAGAGCTTTGATAAATCTGTTCGTTTCTGGCCATTTTCAGTGTTGCTATAGTGAACAGTGTTGACAAGTGGCTGAAAAAAGCTTATAAATGGAATTCAGATCATAGATAAAACCGAACATAAACTATCTCGCAACATTTCTGCATGTTGGGAGGCCTGGTTTGTGCCACAGATGGCCATCTCCCAATAATACATAAAACACTTCTTTCTGGAGCCCGGCACACATTGTTGAATGCACAGGTCATTTGAACAGAACAATAATTCAATTCACTTCATAATGATCTCACTAGGAGCCAACACAGACACCGGGTGATGCTGTTAGAAGAACAGAATTGTACCGGAGTTTGAAAAATTAAATTCTTAAAAAGCCACCATGCTCTCTTGTCAAAATAGCACTTAAATGTATGCAGTGTTTAGAGACGAGGCAGGCTCGCTGAGTTTATTTTAGTCACTTGAATTATACTGCTATGTGTCTGTGCCATGCTTCTTCAGGCTTCACGCTGGAAGCCTTTCTGGGAGGGTCAGTAATGGCCACTGAGCCTTCTATCGGCCTCTTGGCTGGGCTCATTGATGAGGAAGCCTTGAGTTAGTCACTTTCGCTTCTCTGATCACTCGGGTGGCCTTCATTGAAGATTACAGAGCATTTCTGAAGGGCACATGGGAATCATTAACCAGCCCAATAAAATGACCTATTTATGTAAGTAACAGTTATTATAACCCCACCCCTCATGGCCATATTTCTCTAGAATAATTTTTATTTTTAGGGCTACTTTAATTTCAAGCTTGTACGGCTTAAGATCCTGGAGTCCCTGGATAGCGATGATGAATGAACGAAGCCAGGAGAAAGCAGAATTAGAGGACCTCCAGCATCTGGATGCTTTTTACTCCTCACGCAACTGGAATCGGGAGCCTCCTCTCCTCTCTCTCTCTCTTTCTCTTTCCTCCCTTCTTTCTTCCACTCCTCCCCTCCCCCACCTTTCCTTCCTTTCGCTCCTCCCAGTCTCCCATCTTTTGTTTTTTGACAGGGGTTACTTATATAGCCCAGGCTGGCCTCAGAATTTCTGTGTCTCAAGTCTCCCAGGAATTGAGACTATATCAACCCATGCTGTGGTGTCTTGGTCATGGTGATCACCTCTCATGTTTTAGAACTAAGTCTAATGCTACTGAAATGATATGCTTGTTGTTGAAGATGTATAGCTATTGCTACCATGTCATCTTCCATTACCAGCATTTACTAATGAAGCAAGAGCCTAAATATGTTTTTGCTTAGTGTGCTAGATTAAAATATCAGCCACAAAAAACAAATGCAAAACCCAAACAAATCAAAACAAAAATATCAAAACAGAAAATAAACAACAAACAAAAATCCCAGGAATAATATTAATTTAATAGCAGAAACTTTTTATGAAGTCTTGCTACTGATTTTTTGTTGTTGTTGTTGTTGGTTGGTTGGTTTTGATATTTCAAGACAGGGTTTCTCTGTGTAGCCTTGGTTGTCCGGGAACTCACTATGTAGACCAGGCTGGCCTGGAACTCACAGAGATCTGCCTGCCTCTGCCTCCTGAGTGCTGAGATTAAAGGCATGCGCTACCACCGCCTAGCCCACTACTGATTGTTTTATAGTTTGTTTATTTAAAAAGTCCCCATCCATCTGCCCCTGTAGACTTGAAAAAAGAATTAGATCTTCCTTCCTTTAAAATAGTGCTTTTACACTTGAGAAGCCCATCTCCCTATGGGACTCATATCTGCCCCTGCCTTTTCAGCACCTTGTGCAGGCACCGATTTCCGATGGAAAAACAGGAAGATCGCCCATTCGATTCGTCCATGAAACAATGGTGAGGGGAGGGTGTTTTAGGCTTAAAGTGACCCAGGGAGGAGGAAGGGGAGCACCACCTTCCACTTGCCTAAGAAGCCACACCTTATTTTTTCTTTAACGCCCCTTTCCTCTTGTCCCAGAAAACATAGCCCTGCCTCTAAAAGGACTGTTTAAAGGAGAGCGAGCACAAGAGGTGAATGAATAAATATAAAAGGCAGCAGGGCTTCCGGGAACAGCTGAGACCAGGAAAGGTTCGCGGAAGGATCATCACCTGTCTGCGACCTTCCTTCCTCCTGCTGTGCGCCACCTAGAGAGGAGGCTACTTGCTCTCCCATCTGCCAGGATGCAGATCCTTGCCGCACCTGGACCAGCAGCCCAGGGTCTGGGATCACATGGAAGGAAGCTTTCTGAGGACAGGCAGAGCTTCGAGAAACTAAGCCCTTTGCAGAAGATCTCTCTAACTTCTGATCAAGAGAACAGCTAAGAGCCAGGAGCTAAGAAACCACATCCTTTCCCAGGCTCCAAGGAGCAGAAAGGAGGAGAGAAAGGATTTAAACTGAACTTACTGTGCTCCTGCAGTTCCACACATTTTCCTGGGGGCATTAGCTCAGGTCAAGCTCACACCAATCCTATGGAGATCTAAGACCCCCATGCCCATTTCACAGATGAGGCACAAGAACACTAACTTTCCAAAGAGCAGCGAGTTACTTATCTGAAAGAGCAGGGACCCGAGCCCAGACCCAGTTGGTCTCCAGCACCTCCACGATTATATAGCTCACATTAGAACCACTTGGAGAGCTGTTAAATGATATTGATACTTGGGCTCAGTCCTAGAAATACTTCTATAGTGGATCATCAGGACTTTTAAATTTCCCCAGGTGATGTTAATGTGTAGCCAGGTTTGCCAATCATATTCTTCTATCTCTCACTACTGTGTTATTTTATGATCTCTGCACTTTCTGGTGCCTCTCCATCACTCACACCATTCTATTGTGGTCTTGAACTCTGCCCCATTCCTGGTTTTCTTCCCACACAAAAATAGGTCTTGTGGTGGGTTTCAAATAGGTCCACAAATTGTGGGAAGTTGTAGGACTGCAGCTGAAGCCGGTTGACATTTTAGGATGGAATTGTGAATGTATTTCCTATGGTACATAGCTGCGTGCATTTTACACAGTATGATAGAGAGAGAGAGAGAGAGAGAGAGAGAGAGAGAGAGAGAGAGAGAGAGAGAGAGAGAGAGAGAGAAACAAGCCAACTAGTATAGAGACAAAGGCAGAAAGATGAGCAGGATTAGGGGAAAGGAAAGAAGCCAAAAGAATTTTGCCCCTTGCTCTGTAGTCTACTGTGACACTTGGATATGTCACACTAAGAATACACCTATGTATTTTTCCTACAGAAATTTGAGGAAGGTTTTTGTTTGTTTGTTTTTATAATATATTATCATACTGGGAGGGGTTTTATTAGTAGCCCACTACTAGGAATATAGTCCTGTAAGTTCATTATGTATAAAGTAATGTTTATGGCCTGCACGGGGGTCTTAACAGCACACAGACACTGAGTTACAGACACTGCAGTGTTGAAGAATTAAAGAACAGTAGGCCTTGGAGCCCGACCCCCACACGTGTTTGATTCTTGGCTCTAACATCCACTACTTTGGCAAGACATGCTATCGTTCTGAGCCTGTTTTCTCACCCATGCAGAATAGCATTCAGGAATTAAAGAAGCTAAATGTGTGAGTCTTCCTGGAATGAAAACAATGAAGAGGTGGCATCCATAAATGGTAGCTATTGTCCTGTAGGAAAATCTGTTCCTGGTTCAAAATACATACACTTTGGAATGATTAAATACAAATAAATTGAGGGCTCTGTGGATTATAGTTTTGTCATTTAATCTTTAGGAAGGGTATGAAATGTTCATGACATAAAGTGGACTTCTGCACGTGCTGCAGGAGAAGTCCATGGCCATCCTCAAGTGTGTATTTACCACTTAGCTGTATCCCCAGCTTAAAGAAAACTTTCAAGACATGAATTGCATGAATTTTGCAAAGGTTCCAGTGGCCAGATATTTGTGATAAGAGGGCATAGTGGCATTCACCTTTAATCCCAGCACTTGGGAGGTGGAGACAGGCAGATCGCTATGAGTTTGAGGCAAGTCTGGTCTATACATACAGTGAGACCTTGTCTCAAAAATAAAAAAAAAATAGATAAATAATAGAGTGATAAAAGTATGGGCAATTCATTTTCCTCAGCTACAATGGAGAAATAGGACCATGGAGATGAACACAAAATCAGAGTTGAATCCTATTGGATATTACTCCTACAAGAATTTTCTGTCTCATCTTGATTTTGTATGTTAGAAATGACACAGGGCCCCAAAGACTTCACTGTGCCAATTAAAGTGTTTTGTTTAACCCATTCAACACTTTTCAACAATGGTGGAACTTATTCCACATTTAAAATGTTCATTGATGTAAAAATATAAGTTGTGTTTTGCTCTTAAAAAGCTGACATATCTTTTATGAAGAAGAAATGATATCTAATGTTCTCATCACCATGAAATGGTAACATTTAAAGGAATGACTATGCTAATTATCTTGATCTGCTTCTTAATACAATGTGTACATGTGTAGAAGCATTGCATCGTGTATAATTACTTTATGACAAGCAAGTTAAAGGATAAAACAAGAAAAAATGTGACTCGTGTGACTTCCTGTGGGCCAGCTAGGTAGAACTGAGTCGTGGATTTGCTCTGTGGTCAGGACAAGGGCTCTCTAAGAAGCCACAAGCCCCACTTGGATGGCTTACATCACTCAATAGTGTTATCTCCCTGCCCTTCAGGCACTAAGTTTGTACCTGTGAAACTCTGAATGTTTTCTCCGAGGCCATAGGGAATGTTGTTGGGATAGGAGGATTGCATGCCTCTATAATTACATCTGCCTACGCACGTCTGTAGTGTAGAAATCCCCAAAATGGAGGCTGCTTCTCTCTGTTTACTTTTTAATGAGGTGAAGAAAAGGAGAGTGGAGCTCTCTGAAATGTCTCTGCATAGAAGCAAAAGGCTGCTATTTATAATCCACCTCCTTTCTGCTATGAGCTAATATTCGTCAGGAGACCATCATTTCTCAAAAGCCCCAAGTTGCGGGTCATCACAGCAATCTCTCTACTCCATCTTTCCCATGTGGAGGAGTCGGAGGTTCTTCCTCTTCACCATGCTCGGGTTCTGTAAATGGAAGAAAAAGCTGAACCATGACCCTTGCCTTTGGATGTATACAGAGAGATGCTTATCAACTTTGGTGATATTGACTTCATTTTTAATATCATGGAGTCAGTTGTGAATCAATACCTGTCCAATTCTTGTCTAATAAATGTCCTTATCTGAAGGTTATTAAAAACAAACAAAAATAGGTCCTATTTCCTTAACGCAGCTGGAAGATCTGGCCATGACAAAATTATTTCCCACAATTATCGAGAGCAAAATTTGAATTTGTCATAAAAAGAATCTTTCATTAGCCAATGTTTTTAGTCTAAGTGGTTTCTCCCCAAGTGACTGTTTACTAAGAAAGATCTCAGGACTGACTGGAGATGTTGCTCGGTTGCAGAGGGCCTGCCTGACAGATGCAAGGCCCTGGGTTTTACTCCCAGCACACTGGGCGGGGCTGGGGAGGAAACCTCTAAATATACATGTGAAAGGATACCACACCAAGCACGGGGACCCACGGTCAACAGTGAACATTTGTCTCAGTTTCTGTAGCACACCTCCATCGTGCCTCAGTCTATCAATTCACACGAATTTCTGACACACTTAGCAGCACATTCCATCCATACTCAGCATTTACATCATTGGAGTTCCATATTCACTTACATCTTTACTCAATTTATTGGAATGAAGGTCTAATGGTACAGCACACTCCTGGTATTAGCATGTACCCTGGGTGTGACCCCGAAGCACCAAATAATAGAAATAGTAATAATAATAACAATAAAGAAAACATTATTGTAATACATATACACACACATATATATATACATATATATACATATACATATATATATATAAGATAAAATTCACCATCATAATCACTTTGAGGTGTGTCATCCTGTGGTAGTACGTGTATTCACATTATTGTGTGTGATCCCCACCATCCAACTGCAGAACTCTTTCTTTCTGCCCAGTAAAACTCTGCCTGTTAGACACCAACTCTTAGAGCCTGAGGATACTTTCATGCTATGATCTGTCTCTGTTGAAGTTGATTATTCTCAGCACTTCATATGTGTAGATCCACACAGGGTTTTTTCCCTTGTAAGTGGCTCATTTTCCTTAGTGTAAGTTTTTTTGTTGTTGCTGTGGAGATTTGAAACTTTTATTTTTGTGGGTTTTTGAGATAGAATTTCTCTGTTTCCTTGACTCTCCTGGAATTGACTCTGCAGAGACCAGGTTTGTCTCAAACTCAAGAGACCTGCCTGTTTCTGCCTCCTGAGTGGGATCAAAGGCGTGCCCCACCACTGTCTGGCTCGTGTAATGTTTTTAAGACCCATCTGTTCTATGCCAGGATTGCCTTCCTTTATGATGGAATACTATTCCATTGGTTGTATATACTGCAGTTTTATTTATTCGTTCATTATCAGATTCTTGGTTGCATCCATTTTTTCCCCCTGTAGACTTTAAGATTTTAGGTCGGATATAGGTTCCTTCACTTTTGACTTTTATAAAGGACACTGCTGTGGGTATGGGTGCACAGGTCTCTATTTGAGAGTCTCTTTCACCACAGTGGGGTGCACACCCTGGAGTAGAAGTGGAGGATCATGCACTAAGCTCACATTTATTTATTTATTTTGAGAAATGATGGCATATATATATATATATATAAAATAGAAAATGCACATTACTAAAGAGTGCCATTGATGGCTTGTGAAAAACATATACTAGGTTTTTTCCAATTTTATTTTTCAGGTCCTCAATATGTAAGTTAGTCTTTCAGTCAGAAAACTGATGATTTCTGTGACCAGAACTCTGGTGGGGAAAGTGTAGACTTAGATGATGTTAAGGCATCCAGAGATAGAACCACTCCTCTCTCACCAGCATAGATTTTGAGGTCTTCAATGGCTCTCACAATCCCATTTGGAAGTTCACAAAACTAACCTCCCCTCTTCTCCTACTGACTATGAACATATTATCTTGGGCAAGCAGCTACCACACCACTTTCAAAGAGGGACTTAAGCAGAATTTTCAACTCTTTATTTCCAGGAAGAAATTATCTCTCCCTACACTCAACAGGTAGACTCTCCAGAGTCTAAAGATTTTCAACAGGCAGTGGGCAGAGTTTATTTTATAGATCAAGGATTTATCATTGACATAAAAACAAACAAAAACAACCAATGCACACCAAAGGTCCCAACCTCAAGCCATATTCTTAGCACTCATGGGAAGGGGAGTGGAGAAAAAAAAACAAAAAACAAAAAACAAAAAAATAGATTCTGCAGATAGTATTAAATAGAAGCTAGTGGACCTGGTGGTGCACACCTTTGATCCAGCACTCCAGAGGCAGCCTGGTCTACACAGAGAGAGTTCCAGGACAGCCAGGGCTACACGAAAGAATACTATCTCGAAAAACCAAGAAAAGAAATAGTAAAATCATTGTTATTTCTATTACATGTTTAGTGTAGCTTGTTCCTGATTTGAGAGTTTCATATCTAGAAATTTCTCTTATAGACACATTGTTAGAACTGTACCAGGATGTACGTGTGTGGGGTCGCTCATGGTCACAAGGATGGCAGAACACAAGGTGGAAGGTATTGTTAAAAATTGATCCTGAGAGACTACATTTAACTGGTGTAACTCACTTTGCCAGCTTGAACGCAAATGAAGTTACATCTTTATAAAGTGATTTCAATGGCATTGGCTCCAAATATCCACGTGCCAGATTAAAGCCAGAGAAGCCCAATGCCTGTTGTCATCCCCCCAACCTCCACCCTGCAGGCCCGTCCATCCCCCTGCATTGTACAATCAGCCTGAGGCTTTCCTCTTGAGCATGGCTCATCCTGCCTCCAAATGCCTCATGAAGACAGAGGAGAATCTGATTAGTGGAGAGGAGCCCTGTTTTCATGTCTGCTGCTCCTGCTTGCCATAATACAGCTGTTGAAAGCTGCAAATTTAATAAGCAGGGACTCTCGTCCCAAAAATAAGGTCGGGAACAAAAGGGTTGACTGGTTTTGTGAAAAATAAAAGTAGAGATTATCTTAATTATCTTTAGACATGATGTACCTTTGAAGAATGTATACAACATAATTGAACATACACTCTACCTAAACAGTGCTCTAGTCTGTTAGAATAAACAATGAATCAAGCACTGATCCAGTGGAGGAACAATTTACCTAGCAAAAGTATTTTGCAGTAAAATTTGACACTTCACTTCATACTGACTTCTACAGCAGAAGACTGGGGTCATTTGTAAGAAGATGTAGAGGTTCGTACATTTCTCTAAGAGCCTCTTTTAGTCCTTTGAGATTCAAGCAAGCCTCCTTTTGAAGCATGTACCCTGTTAGCATCACTTTGTTTTTCTCATTGTGAGAGGGCCCAGCACTGCCAGACACTCATTTGCTTATGAAACACTTGTCCAGAATCACTTCCAATGGCTTCATAACATCCTGCATCTTCTGCAAGATTAGCAACTTTGCACTACAACTGAAATGCACTTTATTTACATTGAATTGTGGGAAGTTTATAACATCTGCACTCAGCGAAATTGGCTGGTGGAGCAGGGATAGACGCTGGAATTAAGTTGGGAGGGGCATTCAAGTGGGAACTAGTTTAGCAAGGGGTCAGTTCATTACTGGATGTTTCCTGTTACGACTAATTTCTGCTTTCCTACACAACTTAGCAACTACTGGGATTCAGGGAATGATAAGGGAGTTGGATAACAAGGAATTTCTGTCCTTGCCTCACTAACAAGGAACACAGTGGGCAAGAACATGGAAAGGCATTTACAATGCATTGTTATGGAAAAACAGCCAACTCCGAATGAACAGTATAACTGTGTTTTTATGGACAGTAGTAAAGCACTAAAATGTAGCAGGAAAACCAGCCTGAATGACACAGCAAAGGAGTAGCAGCCTCTGATGGGTGTGGCAAGGAAGTAACCTCATTTTTTAAAGGAGCATTTACATTTTAAAATACAATAAAAACGAGTTAAGGGTAATTTTTCAGTAGTTTGTCTGAGAAAGGGCCGGAATAGAAAAGAAGGAGAAAAAGAAGGAAGAAACAAAAGGATAAACACCGTGAAAAGAGAAACAGGCTGTGAGCCGGGCAGTGTTCAAACAAGGGATGCCCCTGCCTTTGCAGCCCTTCTCCAGGACTGCCATGCTTCATTAGAGGCGAAAGCTCCTTTTCAGCATGGTCAAGCCACAGGCATTTTCAAGGCTGTTCTTTTCAAGGCACTATGTTACAGAGTACTGCTCAGAGGAACACAAGGGTCCCTAAGACTTCATGTCCCTTCGTCAGATAGCTAACAACCTGAGGTGACATCTGCGCTCCAAGAATCGAGCACCGGTTCAGCCTGAAAGGTGAAGGAACCAACTGCGGACTTCCCAGTCTTGGACTCCACTGGTCCAAGCATGAGATGAGATGTCCTCACTGAGTGAAAATGAAATTCTTTATCTTCCACAGGAAGAGAAATCTAGGGACCGGCCTAAAGGCCATTTAGAGTGTCCGCCTAGATGCTACAAGAGTTTCTGGAGGCCTGTGATGGTGAGAGCTTTGAACTGAGGTGCTCACAGTCAGTACTTTTATCTCTGCCCTGTCTTAGGAATAAGGAACCAGAAAGTCCATTAGTGTCGGTCTGTTGCTAAGATCAGAACAGGATTTGAACCTAGGATCTCTGCCTCCGGTGCACATGTCAGCTTAGAGATGATCATTACATGGTTCTCCTGCAAGGCAGGTTAGTCCAGGAGGAAAAAGGAAACTCTCTGTGGGAATGGAATTTGGAGAAAGGTAATACTTACCAACAAACAACAGCGCCACCCATGAACTCTCCATAGGCTTCCGGGAGGAGAGGTTGCCAAGACAGCTGTGCACTTGGTTCTTCCTGCCACTCCTGGAAATGATCCCTGCAGGGCAGAGTTGAAGAGCATTAGCTGGGTAGCACGTTCTCTGTTAGCCAACACATACTCAGAGTTGCAGCTAGGTTCTACACTCAGCTGTAACAAATGGCTTTAGGAAGTCACCACTGTAGAAACTTCAATGGTGGGCTTACTGTGTATGGCACATTCTTATCCAGGAGGAAGTGTTTTCTGTGTGCTATTTAGCATACCAACTGTGGCCATGGAGTATACCTAACGTTTAGCATTCCTATGTGTCAAGTTATTCTTTAATATTTTAGAAATACAAAGGAAAGTGACACTTACCTAGTCTTGTGGCATAATTTAGATCTGTGATCTATTCCAAAAGTGAAACATTTGTTAAAAAACAAACCAAAAAGTTCACTTGACTTTTTTTTTCATCAGGCAAAGTTTGTTACATGTATTAGTTTATCCGGAACTCACTTCAGTTTAAAAAGTGGTTTGAGTTCACCACCACAGTAATGAAAAACAAAATGCTTTGTCACGTCACTTCTTGTAGATGAAAGCAAACTGCTTCTTAGATGCAATTGTTTGTGTGTGTTTGAGAATTTCATATATGTATATAAGGTGTCTTGATCAGATTCATCCCCCATTCCCTCCCCTCCAGCCCATCCCCTGTTCTTTCTACCACATGTCCCTTTCAACTTCACTTGCTCTTTTAAAAAGTGCACAGTCCCCTTAGTGCTGCTGCATGTATGTTCCGTCACAGCATGGGCAGCCTCTCAGGGGCCTCATCACCGAAGACCTCCCTTCCTTGGCAGTCACTAGTCACCAGTAGCTCTTTAGTTAGGGCTGGAACTGCATAAGTTCCTCCCTCGTTGTCTTAGTTAGGGTTTCTATTTCTGTGAAGACATACCATGAGCACGGCAACTCTTATAAAAAACATTTAGTTGGGGCTGGCTTACAGTTAAGAAGTTTATCCCATTGTCACCATGGCAGGAAGTATGGAGGCAGACAGTCAGGCTTGGAGCTGGAGAAGAAGTTGAGAGTTCTACGTCGGGATCAGCAGGCAGCAGGAAGGAAGAGAGAGCAACTCTGGACCTGGCTTGAGCTTCTGAAACCTTAAAACCCACCCCCAATGACACACTTCCTCTAACAAGACCACACCTACTCCAATAAGGACACACCTCCTATCCTTCTAAGGGTTAGGTGCCAGTCCCTAAGAGCCTATGGGGCCATATCCATTCAAACAGCCATACCCATCCATGCCTGGAATCTGGGTGATTTGGTGCTTTACATGCAGCCACAACTTTTGTGAGTTCATGTGTGCCACCGTGCTGCCATGTTCAGAAAATACTGGCTCACTGCAGGTATCTCCTGCCTTTGGCTCTTAGGAGCTTTCCACCCTTTCTTCTGAGGTGATCCCTGAGTGTTTGGGAGAGTGAGTGTGATACAAATGTCCAATTTAGAACTGAACACTCCACAGTCTCCTCTTTTCTACATGACGACCAGTTCTGGGTCTTTTGGAGTGGTACATGGAATAATAAAAATTCTCCCCTTTCAAGAAAATGTCATTGTCTTGAAAGTTTTCAGCATTCATGAAAATAATTTGTGTATACTGAATGCAAATTCTTTTACTCCTTTGTTCCTCTTCATGTCTGAGAATGTGAGGACATAGTATCGAACACTGTAATCTTTTACAGACAACCCAAAGTTTTGCGTGAAATGGTAACTTGCAGGTTAGAACCAACATCAGAATCCTAAGCATTGTTGTCTGAGGATAAAGTACTTGATTAATGGGTGGGCCTGGTCATCTACCTGGTGGTAACTTCTCAAGAAAAATCTTGTGGTTGTCTCTACTTGTCACCTATTCAGTAAATCTTTTGAACAGATGCTGTGTTTGTTTCTTTGGGAAAAATGGTCTTTAAAAAGAAAAGAATTCATTACTGTACTAGCCCTAGTACCCAAAGGTGATGGCAGTTATTAATTTGCATGATTGTTTTTAGATAATTGTGTGATTATATTCATATTTAGATTACAACTAGATATATGAAGTTGATGACCTCTGAATATATTTGTGAATCTGACAATTCTTCACCTACAAATATTTATCTGCAACCTGGTAGATCTTTTCTGAGCAGAAATGTAGAGGCACCTAATATGTTATTTAGAGAGATATTTTAAAAAAGTATCACATTACCAAGATCTTTTAGAGGAGTCAGCACCTTGGTAAGTTGACTGTGTTGTGTAACTGCCAGGGTTTGAAATTATTATTTTGTAATAAAAGCTTTCTTGGGTCAGTGAGTTGGTTGCCTTCTCCTAAATTTTTCTTTTAAAAAAATTCTCTGTAGTTGACCTTGTGTCCCACCATTGTGCTGCTGAGAAAGGGCTCATTGTTTTCAACTAAGAGCTTCATACAGCAATGAAAGACCATCTCAGAAATCACAAGGCACAGAAGGGAGGTGACCCTTCTGCCAGGTGTCACCAGGCAGTTGACAAGGGAAAGGTGATGCCATCTCCGATGCGTTTCCCCATATGGTTTTCCCGAGACAGCATGGTGGTTACTCACACTGGATTCTAATGGAGCACTGAGTTGTATCATTTATTATTCCACACACGCCCCTTACCGGCAGTGAGTGAAACTCAGTCGAGAATACCGTATCCAGGACTTGATTGTGATGGCACACGGCAAGATGTCAAGCATCTCCAGAGGTCTTAGATGTTTGGCCTGTTGCCATTTGAGAAATGGCTTCTGCTTTTCATCCTTCATGAGGATATCAGGGAAAAACTTCTCAAACTGGCCCTAGCTGTAATTCTTAATGCTTGTCTTGGAAAGGCAGAACATTTTATAGATTCTGCACAATCTTCATTGTCCCAGAGCTCAAGGAAATTTAATTTTCAGAGCCAGCAAAGATCCATTTCTTAAAACAACAACAACAACACTTGTTTAGCCTCATTGCCTTATGCTAAAAGATTTATCCTTCTCATGAACAATGCCAGAAACACATGCTTAATTGTTAATTTCATTTGACCTGTTGAGGTAAGACTCTGGAGAACACAGTTTGCCCAAAAATGACTGGGATGTGTGGTACTATAATGCCCTAGAAGTGAGGAAAGTCTCCACCTAGGCCACACATTCAGGGTCTGGGGAGAGGATGCGCTTTTGTCAGCATTGTTGATTCTTGTTCTTTTGATAGACACTAAATCCCCTCCTGAGAGGAAAGCAAAAGTCCAAGTCTTTTTGGCTGATAAGCATACTCCTGTATGCACAGGGTTTTTGTTTGCTCTCCTCATCCCCAGAACTCCACTGAGCTGAAGTAGGAGGGAGGTCCCTCAGGAATGCTAGGACCTTGATCTGCAAATCACCAGCAGGACCAGAGCAGAAGTTAAAACTTTGCAGCCCCCCATGTCACAAAAGTATTCCTTTCTATTTGCCAAGAGAAAAATCCCAACTCATGGCCTGAGACCATATTGTAAAATGTAAATAACATTTTAATGAGCACTATGGAAGGGTGAGCTGGGCCAGTCGCCCACCACTGAGGGGCTGGATTTAAGTGCACCTTGGGTAGTAATGAAACTAGTTTGGTGGTCTTCGCCTCTGTAGTAGACATTTTCCCACATTAGCAAACCAGCACAGAATTTCATGTGATCCCATACAAAGGACAATTACAGCTCTGCCCAAAACCAGAACTGGAGTATGGATGGGGTAGCTAGAGGAGAAACCAACAGACAAATAACAGGGAGCCTTTTAACTCAAAGTTAAACTCCTACCTAGACTTACGAGGGAAAAAAGGCCAAATGATTGCAGGCACATTTTTATTTCTGTCTACTGTCTGTAGTCTCAAACGCCATCTGAAGAGCTGTCCTCATTCCTGCCTCCTTCACTGTCCATGATCTTCCCTCTGTGAGGAAACACTTTCAAAAGCCTGGTCTGGAAGCCCGGTGCTGAGTTCTCCACACTGACAGCTCCAGATCATGGGGCTACGAAGGTGAGCCCCACATTCCCTAGGAACTCTACCACATCTTTCTTACTGCTTCTGATTCCAACTCATCCTCTCTCACAAGGTGCAGGTCACTCTCCGTTAGTCCAGGCACAGCCCAGTTTCCTACAGAGTGCATGCCTTCTCTCTAGTTTCGCACCCGTATACACAAAACCATTTATGCCAAAAATGTCCATCCCATAAGCCAGGCTTCTATTATCATTCCTTTTGAAAGTATGAGTGAGTGTTTAAAAGATACAGGGAGGGAAACAACCCCAGACTTAAGTCTCTGTATTCTTGACCTCACTATACTTCATTCACTGTAGATTCTTCATCTCTTTCTGTTTGGAAGAAGACTCAGCCAATATATCTCTTAATGATTTAAATCCTACTGTTATCCTCTGTGTTAAATTAGGAGTCTGTATTTTCTCATTATCACCTTTGGAATAATTGTTCTGACCCCAAACCATCAAAACCAGATGAGATCTTCGGATGGTCTGAGGACATTCCACTTGGAATGGGATGGCATGTCTGTTCCAAGAGAGACAAACAGTGCTATCCTACCTTGGGATGTCCTACCTTGGGTTCAATGACATCAGAGCTACAGGAATGGAGAGACACTCATTAAAACACATCTCTTTCTTTTGGTTGCAGGTAGAGCTCCTTGGGCAGCCCAGGGAAGGGCTCCACCATCATTGCTCCCCAACCCCCGAAAATACAACTCCATCTTCAGACAGAAGTCACTGTCTCATAAAGGATCACAGTTCCAACTCTTAGGACTATCCCGAGGCTAGACCCAAGGACAGTGCTCCCCTGTGGCAGGGTAAGGTGCCTTTCCTGGGGCTGGGCCTAGTTTGCCCTAAGGTTACATCTCTACACAAAGAAGTCTTTAAGAGTAGTTCTCCACACTAGAGATTTGTGTCTGTAGATCTTAGAAAAAAAGGAGAGCGTAATAAAACTACAGGAGCCAGCGGTAAGGAATTACAGTTCCAGAATCGGCGGAGGGCTGCCTCAGCCCTGCTAAATGCTGAGCCTTGGCCTCTCTGAGGACTAAGAACAAAAAAGAAAAAGGAAAAAGAAAAGAAAA